GACAAATTCGTGGAGGATAAAGGCTTTCAGTGGCTATGTACCACCTCCACTGTCAAAGTCAGTATGCCTCTGGAGGCCTGCTGCTAGGTGAGTGCTGTTGCACCGAGGTCCTTCTTGAGGCTTCTCATAGGCACCTGGTTGACCGCTGTAAGAACAGGATGCTGGACAATATGGATTTTTTGCCTGATCCACAAGGGTTTTTACAGGCTTCAAGCAGCAATGCCACTGTCCCTTCTGAATCTCACCATAAAACTAGCAACCAGGGATGGGGGCAGAGGCAAACATCATTCATGGCCTTAGTAAAATGAGGGTTCAGTAGCAATTAGTAACCTCATCTGCTAGCACTGGCCACTTAGAACCACCATGCTTCCCCTGACATCCTACTTTCCTCTCAGACTTCCTTTGTTGTCCCTTTTCATCTCATCCATGACAGATTTCCCCTGTGTCTGCAGGTCAGACATCTTGATTAACCCACAATTTCCTAAGTGTGCCTCCCCTTTGTCTCACACGTGGATGAACTCTACTGTAGATTGTCCTGAATTTGGGGATCTTGGAGGTTTAGGTGTGGATAAATGACTTGGCAACTCCAGCACCTCACATTTATTCCACATGGTAGAAACTTTTAATAGTTTTTTCTTGCGGCAGTAACATGTGCTAGGCTGAATCAAAGGCAATGAAAAATCCATTATTTTACTTCACCTTGCCAAAAGACGCTTTGCTATAATGGGAAACATTTCCCCCAATCAGGTGCCCACATTCTCTGATATAATTACAACTTCTCACATTTTCCCCCCTTTTGTTGTATTTGTTAGTTACCTCATTATTCCTCGCATAATAAACCTAGATGGTTTCCTGAAATGGGATTTCAGAAGTATCGCTGGTCCACTTTTGCAAGTTTCGAGTCGCATTCTTGCTCTTTCAGTCCTTTTGGATTCTGTTTTGATTAATAAGTGCCCTGTCCTCGTTTAAACGCATTAAAACACTCACCTCTTCTGATTAGCACAGCCTGCCATGCAAATCCTTTGTGTTGCACTTTCTAATGATTGATACTGCATTACAGTCAGACGCAAATGTATGCCTACTCTTTTCTGTCGAGCTCATTTTGCCTTTGACGGTCAGCCTCCCGTACGCATTGGGTGTCAAGTGCTGGTGAGCGAAGGAGCCGCAGAAAAGTACCTCCATTCCTCGCCTCGCCTCTTTTTAATCTGCTCGAAGGTGTTGCGGATTTGGCCCTTTTCAAGTTGGAGGCAGAGCCACAGGTAATTATCTGCAGCTGGATTTGAAAACACTTGTCAGGCAAAAGAATCCTTTGCTTGGCGAGGCTGCCATTTTGACAACCGGGGAAGAGGCAGAACATTTGCTTTACATGCTGAAGGTCCCAGGCTCAATGCTTGACATCTCCCAAGTAGGACGGCGAAAGACCCCCGTTTGAAACTCTGATGCCAATCAGCATAAATAGTGCTGAGCTTGGTGCACTTGGTTTGACCCAGTCTTCATGTCTAGCTTCCCTAACCAGCAGAGCATAACTTATGCCTGGGACAAGAGGACATACAGCAGTTGTTGTAAAGTAGTGTCACCCACAGACAGGGGATATAACAGGGCTCTCTAGATTGATATGGCGATAAGTCCTTCACTAATGCCCCTTTTCCCCACATTCAGAAGAGGCTGCTTTGCAAATGTGCCCCCGCAACACCTTAGCAAGATGTGGAAATACCTTGGATACCTCGTAACCCCATGTAAAATTAAGTAGGGTGAAGCAGGATTGTTATTTGTGGTGCTGAGGCTCAAGTGATGAAGTTCTGAAGGTTCAAATTCTTACTTAGCTATGGGAGTAACTGGGAGACTGGGAGAGTGATTAAGGTAAGGATGCTTCCAAACCAGCCTCCCTGCTCTGCAAATAATATGCCTGTCTTCTTCGCCCCAAGAAGACTATCTGCAATCAATGTGTGGTACAGATCCATGTGGATCTTGGTTCTTGTAAACAGTTCAACACTTTTCTCCCATTAAAATGCCTGGAGATGAACTGCTCTTTCATCTGGCATTTGATAGGCAAATGCACTTCCAAGTTCTCAGTTGGATGGAGATTTTTCAAGTTCAGCCCTAATTTATTTATCTTAAATCCGGCAATGTACTGTAATTTTACAATAAAAGCCTCCCAATCAAAGCTTACCTTATCCAGAGGTAATTAATACAAAGATTGTTGAATTAAAGATGTGAGTCTTGACACTTTGGCAGGGGGTAAGGGACATGGTCTCAAAGGCCCAAATTATGCCTGAAACAGACCAATTAACACCATGTATCTTCTTTTATGTTAACTTCAATTAAGGTTTCTTAAAATTTTTGAAGTTATTTTCTTCTTTACAGTCTCAGAATGTCAGAAATGTACATCAAAGAAAAACGCTTCAGTGCGAACACCATAGGTAACGCTCATTTGCACACAAATCTGCATATTGCAAAGGAGTTCAGAGCCCATTTTGCATGTATTATTGCAAGATGTGAGTCGACGAATTAAAGGACTTAAAGATAACAACCATACAAAGGAAAGAGTGCACCTACTTGTGTTTACAGAATGAACTTTGAAAAAAGGAAAGTAGTCATTATCTCTACACAGGAATATACATGGAAATTATATTAAAATGGCATTTTGGACACCTGTGTGGTTTAAACACTTTTGAGAAATTTGTAAAGTTCATTTAAAGGGAACTTCCATCTATACTGCAGACTTAAACTGGGTTAATAGCCTTCCTCTCTCAAGAGGAGATCTCCCCTGTGAGCGACAGATGAAACTACAATTCCCAGGATGCATTGGGGGAAATTACGACAAACTGCTTTAAAAAAACCTATATAAATTAGTAGTGTAGGTATGCTTTCTGAGATCATCAGTCACTGCTCTTAAGAGAATCGTCTTTGGTCCAACAAGAACTTTATCCATACACAACGCTTTTAAAACAAAATTGATGCTCAATGACTCCTGTTAACAATGAAGGTCAACAACAGGAGTGTCACATATCATCATTCAATAAAGGAAAGCAGGACTTGGCAAGTTTATACTAACTTTTACACCTATATTGCTACTGCTTCCTATTAGCCAGCTCACAAAAATTACTAATCACGCAATTCAGCCAGCTTGCCAAAAAAGGAAAAAGCTAAATCAGCTAAAATTGCGAGAGCTCGGCTTCTATCTGTTGAAGCTCATTTTTTGAGATGTCAATCTTTTTCTGCAAGACCAACTGTGATAAACCTGATCTTTGATCAACAGTTCTTAAAACACTGGATCTTGGCCAGAATCCATCTGTTGTTCAGCCCAGGCTCCAATTCGTACTGCCATGAAACTTCTGAAGAACTGTAAATGCCAATGGAAAGGTGTTAAGCTCATAAGCATTACCATCTAAATCTTCCTATCTTTCCAGCTGAGCTAAGCAAAAGGTTAAATGCTCCCCATGGAGCTTACCCTTCCAAAAAAACGACACCATTCAGGAATCACTGTTTCCGTGTATTAGGACAATCCAATCCGTTTCAGAGGGAGAGGGTGAAATTCCGAACCGGAACAAAGGGAATGCACCAAATCCTTTAGATATGGATCAGGAAAACGTTGCTACCCATATTCAAATGTCCGTAGGTTACAATGATCTTTGGAGGCTCTGCTTTTGGTCCCATGTACAAAAGAGGTATGGTTGGGGGTGGGGACAGACTCAAAAAGGGCCTTCACTGCAGCAACACCCTGGCTATAGAATTTCATAGTAGTAGTAAATTTCATAGTTTAACTCCATACGTCAACTACCTTTCATTTGTCTTGAACCTCCTGCTCATGTAGCCCTCTCCTTTTCTCACAAGGGGAACAATACAAATGTATTATTAGGAGTGTTCTGGTGAATATCTGCATATGAGCACTGATTGCACAGCATGACTTGAACCCTTCTCTCCTGGGGAGCTCATGCCACCTTTCTTGCCTTCTACTGCTAGATTATGGTGATACCTGGGCATTATAATAGTTGTATGGTCCCAGTTGTTTGCCTTGGCTTTTTAGAGCTGCCCGCACACACTGGAGCCCAGGAGTTTGTGTCTTTATTGTTCTCTTTCCGATTGCCCTAGTACTGCATTGTATGTAGAGGGTACATGAGGGTGGATGGTATCAGGTGTAGATTGGCCATTGGTGTACATTGATTGATGCCTCATTTTCATGGCTTATCTGAAGGTAGTGTGCAAAACTGTCTGTTCGGCTTAGCAGCTAGCTCAGTATAAGATTGCACCATAGCTAGTGTCAGTGTAGCATCGCTGCAGTGACCACCAGCTTGGGGAACAATAACATTGCCCTGCCATCTAATAATTCTGTCATATTCTTAATCAGCGGGGAAGGGTTGTTGCCTTTTTATTATTGTACAATACCTAGTGTTATATTTAACTGCTTGAGAGTATCATAACCAACCATTCTTTTCAGCGTAGTAGAATCTGTGAGTAGTGATGGGGAAGAAATTTGATTCAGGTCTTCTTTGAAACCGAATCCATCAAATCTATCCGTTCCAAAACAATATACAAACCGAAACACAGCTAACATTTAATATTTGCACTTAACCTGAATTTTGTTAGGCACTTCACCAACCAGTGTATAACATGCATATATTTGGGGGAAGTCTACATAAAAATGAATATACTTGTGAAAATAACACACTAACATGCATTATATTAAAGAAAATCGCTTGCAAAACTGTGTACATTGGTCAAAACTGCATATTAGGAGAAATTTGCACAAAGGTACTGATGAATTTTTGTGATAATTTTTTTTTAATCCACAAATTGTAAAATGTGGGGAACTGAAAAATGATTGGAAAAAATGAGAAACTGAGAGAACTGAAATCAACAGATCCTTCCTAATCCTAACCCATGCTTTTTGTAGTTATTTTTGAACAACTCACTTGCCCGTAAGATCTGAGGATCATCCAAAACTTTTAGATAACTGGAAGCTCATTTTAAAAAGGAGTGTTGTTTATATATGATTACAGACTGACAAGGAAATACCTTTGAGACTCATACCAAATTCAAGACGATCAGGACACCAAGACAGCTAAAGATCAGGTAAGTGGAAACATACTAAACACCATTTGTTTTGCACATCGGTGTTCATATAAAGCTAATAGAATTAAACAATCATTTCCTTGTCAGGTGCTTCCTTCAGCTGAAATTTTGAATTTTGACCTGAGGAATAGTTGCAGGCGCAGACCTTCAGTGCAATGTTTGTCATTAATGCCTTTTCTTCGGATGGGGTTTATGGGCCTGTCAACATCAGCAACCTAGTGTGTGTGTATGTGTGTGTGCATCACATGTGCTCACCTCTGAGATCTGCAAGTTTCATTCTTAACTCACCGAGAAAATGGGACATGACACTCAGCACTATGGGACATTCAATCATTTCTGACCCACTTGCACACTTGGCTTGTCAAGGCCAGGCGGATGAGGGATCAGCCAGTTTTTAACATTATTGCACACTGTGCTGGGAGTAAGAGAGGGTTTATTATGTCTTTACTTTAAGGAGAGGGAAATGTGGCTGTAAAACAGGAAAGAGTGGGGGAAAGCTCAAGCAGATTAAATGGTTATTAATGAATATATGAGGAGGTGAGGAAAGCCTTGTGGACTAATTGCCCGTCTCGTCAAGCACCCTGTTTTCATCAGCGACTAGCCCAGGGCTTCAGGGAGGCCCACAAGCAGGGCACAAAGACAAGAGGCCTCCCCCATCATTTGCCCCCCAGCAAAATGGCACAAAATTCAAGCTTTAAAAAGGTTTGACAAATTCATGGAGGCTAAGGCTACCAATGGCTACTAGACATAATGGCTATGTTCTGCTTCCACTGTTGGAGGCAATAGGCTTCTGAATACCCATTGTTGGGCATTCTCAGGTGGGATGAGTGCTGTTGCTTTCGTGTTCTGCTTGTGGGCTTCGCATAAGCATCTGGTTGGCCACTTTGAGAACAGGATACTGGGCCACGTGTGTCTTTGGCTAGCCTTGTTCTTCTTTTATTCCTATAATGGCCTCTGAACTTGGAGGTTGCATTTCGCTATCATGGCTAATCGCCATTTATCAACCTCTGCTCCATGAATAAGACCATCTAAGCCAGTGGACATGACCATATATATTATGAGTTAGTTAAGTGCTGGCTTGATTAAGTACTGCCTTTTCTCTTGCCAGAATCTATTAGCCCTCATCTTCGTGGGATGACCTTGAGAAGAAGTCAAAAGTCTGGCTGTACCACTTACTCCATCTTATGCATAAATACAGAATCGCATCCCTTCCTCCTTAAAACTAAAGGAGCTTCAGATGCTTCACATTTTCTTTGTACAGTTGGTGTCTAAGCCACTGGATGATTTGGGCTCCCCTTTTCTGTACCTTTCCATAAATAAAACACCTTGTTTAAGATGCCACAAACTGGATTATACACAGTATTACAAATATAGGCACCCCATAGATTTATATAAAGGCATTTTCATACTAGACATTTTAGTTACAGTCCCTTTACCAGTAATGGTAAATAGAAGAATGTGACCTTTTCAGTATTGCCATATCCTGATTTAATGTTTTCATTTATTTCCCCTGTGCAATTGTTTACACAGAATCTCATTTGCCATATTGCCAAGCTCCCTGCCAGACCTTCAAACAGCAGCCCTGTTTACCATGCTTGAGGGGAGGAGCTATAGTTTAGTTGTAGGGAGTTGTAGAAGGGACTGCAGCACTTAAATAATTGTATTCAGTGGCCTGCTTTACATGTAATGCTAAACTGTGGTTTGTTAAACCATGGCCTAGCAGCATATGCAAACCCACCTAGCGGCTTAACTAAGCTTTCTTAATTATGGTTTATGATTGCTAGTTAACCAAAGTCTGAAGCTGGTCCATAAACCTTAGTTCATGCTAACCACAACTTAGTGTTACATGTGTACCTCCTTAACTTTGTTTACGGATCCAGCATTGACCCCAAGGTTATAGAGCGAAGGGCAGCAAAAAGTTCAAACTGCTCTCATGGCTCGGCTGCTCTCACTGGTGCCTTTTAACTATTCTGTGATGTAATAAACCAAGGTTTCAGTGATTAGCCATGGTTTATATGCAAATCCAGCCAGTGTTGTCTATTCAGAACCATACCATCACAGGCACCTACAATTTATAGGATTTTTCATGAGCTTCCCTGATATGCATCATAATCTTCAACTCTTCCCTGATTCAGAGTAAACTAGTTAAGTGTAGATGATGGTGATGATTTATTAAGGCTTCTGGATGTGCAGTTAACCAATTTTCCAATAAAAATTCAGATAAAAAAACCCAGAAACCCAATCACACGCAAGCGTGCTTACACCCAGAAGTTTTTCTTCCTGCATTTCTGCTTGTGTGCTACAACACAAATGGAACTCAGGAGGCTCATGTGTAGATGTGCTCTTGGCAAATCCTTAGCATAAAATAAAGACATAGCAGCCTCAGGTCTTGAGATGTTTCAAAGTTAAAAGAAGTCCTGGTGTTATGCTCCTGTTCTTGCATCATTTCACCTGCCCATTCTGCTCTGTGTTCTATGATAAGAGGAGACCAGAGTGGATGGCATTTTTAAGGCAATAGCACCTCTCAGCTGATTCAGTGCTTTCATGTGGACTTTGAGTGAACCAAGTCCATGCTTTCCTGGGGAAGTCAAAGTCCTCTCTCTGTGTGTGGTGCGTATTTCACAGAAATGTAAACCTAAGACCTCTTTTCAACTTTGTCTTAGCTTTCCAGATTGTCAAGATTTAAGGTGCACAGTGCTGCAAGATATAAGGCACTGTAAAACCTTGCAAGTAAATTTTCAACACCTGGCTGCTGATCCCTATTATGTTACCTTTACAAGCTATTTCCTCCCTGTAGACAAATGCCTCTTTTTTCCAGCATGAAGGACTGATTTGATTTTAGCCACTTGAACAGCCAAAGGCTTAGTCACTGGAAGCAGCCTGGATGCTTTAAGAATACAGAAAGTCTCCCTCTTCGTGCAATGCAAAGTCTGGGTGCAATGCAAGATTTTTTCCACCTCCCTGAAGAAACTGGTTTCAGTTCAGAGACAAACCAGAGAACACTGCAATCTGCAATCACTGCCAGCATTAATAATTTCCCACGTCACAACTGGAATTAGTAAGATGGAGCTAAAATAGGAAGAATGCAGAGACCACTTTCAGAAGGCAACTGGGGATACTTCTAAAAGATTGTTGTGTGTGTCAGTTAAAACCACCCACGTTGCAAATTATATATACTTATTCCTGTAAGCTCAACTCAGAAATGTGTTCTGCTGTATTCAACTTCATCAGCAGAAGTTGCATTGAACCTTACAGTAAAGTAAGATTATGATAATTTTGCAAAACAGATATATTCTTTTTTCTGCTTTCCCCTGCTCATTCAAGTTTACAGCCTTTTCATGCAGAGACTGAATTATGGTGTGTTTGATGCTTTGCACCGCTAACATTATGATCTTGGGAATCATTTTATCAATGGGAAACTAGCAAAACAAGTACTGAAATTGTACTCTGAGGAATCTGATTTCTATGTAGCATAACACTGCATGAGTATAGCATCTTATCAGTAAATACTAGTAAAAATAAGAAGCCCACGATATGTGAAAAATGGAATATGAACAGGAAACATTGTGTCTCAAGCTACAGTAAACTCATCAGAGAAGGAAAGTGGAAGGATCTTGTTCAAAAATATGGTTAACTCCTGCAAATGCTTAAAATATACATTTTAATAAATTCCATTTTTCACACATTGCAGACTTATTCTTTTCTGACCTTTCACATGACATGCAAAGAGCAGGTGGTTTTTTGTGAGATAGAGATAGCGAGAGAGAGAGAGAGAGAGAGAGAGAAATAGATTTTCTATACAACCATTTGCTTTAATAATCCTGCACAAAATTTATGGTTTCAATCTTTTAATGTATCCCAGGGAACCTCAGCCCATTTGCAACGATCATATTACGGGAAACACAAATGTTAATTGTAAAAGAAAGTCAGGGTGTTTAATGAATATGTGAAGTAGTATTGGATTATGGGGAACTTCGGGCAGAAAAGGAAGTTCACAGGCTAAGTTTTATTTTGTCAGTACTTTGAGATTCATCTGAAATATCAAAACTCATGCCTTTAAAATATTGCTAAAAACTCCAAATGAGACAAATACAGACATCCATTAACTAAGGAGTTATTTAAAATCCAAAAGAATGTGCTTTTGTGATATTGTTATCCTTTCTTTTTGTAGGCTAGGAACATTTGATTTTGTATACCAATTAAAGGTAACAGACCAAATTCTGATAGAGGGGGATTGAACTCCATTGACTAATTTTGTTTTGGGTTTCAGCCCTTATATTTAGCATTATCGCATCTGCACAAAATGAGCATATATTGTTAGATCAATAAGAAGGTGTTTAGCATTATGATTTATGAATCTTGATCTATGAAGCTGTGTCTATCAGACTGACATAATGCAGAGCCACTTACTTATTCTTTGCACTCACACTGTATTCTTTAGCTATAATTAATTTAGAGTTAATTTGTGTTTTCTTTTTGTTTGTTCACTTGTGCACTGAGAAGAAATGCATTTTAAACAGCTGTTGCCCATTTGGTCCAAGTCAAACAAATGCAAAACAATACCTTTAAATAGACTGAGTTCTGTTGCTATAGAGGCTTTAGAAATCATGCAGAATTCTTCACCCAACAGAATGTTACAAGAGTATTTAGAACAAGGTTGTTAACCAGTGACTACAGTCTCAGTCCTCTGCATGGGAGTAAGTCATTCTGAGCCCAGTGAGGCTTAAGTCTGAGTAAATCTGCATATCTATCATTGACCTAATACCATACATCAACTCACATGAAATCATTTTCAGTAAAGCCAGGTCACGGATTCAGCTGCTAATCACCAAGGAGTTCAGTAATAACATGATGAGAGCACATGCACAAACCAATTTTCATTCTCATCATGGCCATTTGATTGTGTGAACCACCCCAAAGGAGAGAAGAGATCTCAAGTGTGTACCAAAAATTATCTAGGATGAGCTGCAACACCTACTATTTGCACTGTTTGCTCCAATGAGAGCAGCCCCTTCCCAGTACAAATAGCACGTGTGCCCCAATGTCCAGATCAAGACTGCAATTTGCTAAAGTCACACCAGGATCCTTATCTGCATTGCAGGGTGGGCATGCCTGCAACTTACTTTGCTACTTGCATGAATGGTGTCAACTCTAGTTTTTTCTTAAGGCGGTATAAAACTTCATTTTGTACTGCTCACAAGAATACGAGCAGCAAGAGAATATTAACAGCTCATGAGTGCCTAATGAAGTTTCGTACAGCCTTACAGGCAAACTAGACATGACACCCAGAATCTCAGCTTTCAGTATAAAGATGCAAGTTTCCAGCCTCTTTGATTACATAGGCAAACGTAAAGGATATGTGATAGGCGTTTCTGCTCCAAAATCTGCAGTAAACAATTAGGAATTTCAGTCTAGGCTATATTTCAGGCTCACAATTTCAATGAGTTGTTTTGAGGTTAGCAAAATGAGAGGTTTCAGTTGTCCCACGACTCGAGATATTGATTCACATGACTGCTTTTCTCCTAACGCAAGATTACTTCCTAGCCTCACCCCCTGTTGCTGTAGGTCCTAGAACGGAGCTTTCCAAACTTTTAATGTTGGTGACACATTTTTTAGACTTGCATCATTCCATGACACAGTAATTCAGTTTTAACTAATTCAGGTTAAACTCATCCCTTTCCAGCCCTGGGAGGAGCATTCATGTGACACATCTACACACTGCAGCCAACACACTAACGTGTCACGACAAGCAGTTTGGAAAGCTCTATCCTAGAAGATATGAGGATCCCTGTGTGGATCTGAGCCTTGTTATACATTCAGGAACTTCGTTACACATTTTACACTTTGACCTCGCAGGCATAACACCAAGCAATGCCTGCACCAAGTGCATGCAGGCTCTTTTAAAATATTTTGAAAGCATTTGGATGTTTCTTATATCCAGTATATATAGATTTGAGCCAGCATTTCCATTTCCTCCCGCTTAGTAAATTTTAAAGTAAATTATAATATCCCAACACATACTAAGAGCTTCTCCTTCTAGTTTCACACTGCAAACTGCACAGATGGTGTCACAGGAGTGCAACATGTCCACCATGTTCATGCAACTTTTATGCAGTTTTGGTTAATTATGTATACACAAAAACATGCAAATGAGCTGCAGCTCTCCGGCTCACGTTACCTTGAAGCAGAATGTGGTCTTGGATACAGAATCCCCCAGAAATGTGGTTGGGTTTTTTTTTTTACTTCTGTTTCTTGAAATTAGAATTGTCAGCATGTTGCAATTGCTCTGATCAATTAACTCCCCGGCTACCCATTCTTACCAACATAATGAGCAAATTAAAAGGAATGTTACATTGTAAAGATAATATTAGGAAGATATTTAAAAGAATATGCTTGAGATAAAAGTGTTGTGTGGTGTGTGTTTTTTGTTGGTACAGATCATTTTACAGATTAATATTTCATCCGAGAGATTGTCTACATTTTTATTTTAAAAAATGCCTACCGATCATTTTAAGTCATACTACCACCATCAAACGTGGCTTGACAGGGTAATGTCTAATTAAAATTAGGTTAAAATTGCATTTTTTAAAAAAATCTTCATGTAATGCAATAATTAATCCATTGAATAATCCTATCAAAGCTTCCTTAAAACTGGTTTGCAATGCTTTATTGGTAGATTACACTGCCATCTAGTGCTTGCTGTATAACATTAGCTGGTCTTTCCAAACCAAGAAGCTGATACAACCCTTTAATATCAGAATCACAGAATTGTAGAGCTGGACCACTGTTCTGTTCCCTTAACTTCCCTGCCCAATCTACAAGCCTCATCTTTCCCTTGTGCACACTTTCCCTCTCATACTGCACTAAGGTAAAAAGGTAAAGTACCCATGGGCGGTTAAGTCCTGTCAAAGGTGACTGTGGGGTTGCGGCGCTCATCTCACTTTCAGGCTGAGGGAGCCAGCATTTGCCCACAGACAGATTTCTGTGTCATGTGGCCAGCAAGACTGAACGCTTCTGGTGCAACGGAACACTGTAATGAAAGCCAGAGTGCACCGAAATGCCATTTACCTTCCCACTGCAGTGGTACCTATTTATCTACTTGGACTGGTGTGCTTTCGAATTGCTAGGTTGGCAGAAGCTGGGACAGAGCAATGGGAGCTCACCACTGTTGCACGGATTTGAACCACTGACCTTCTGATCAACCAGCCCAAGAGGCTCAGTGAGTTAGACCGCAGCGCCACCTGCCTCCCTACCTTTACCTACTGCACTATGCTGATTTGGCCACTCCTCTTGATCATCCCTAGACTTGGTGGGTAGATAGCGGACTCAACAAGTAGAAAAGATTCTGCAAACTGGTGGAAGGGCATCTTTATTATTAGCTGCCTTTATCTTTTCAGTGGCAAGAAGACGAGATCGCACTGACCTATGTATTCTGAATGTTCTTATGTGATGCCAATAAAGGTTACTTAACTTGACTATTAGCTGCCTCCTAAATCCATCTGCTGCCTTTTCTGCCCTCTCCTGCCAAAGGAAACATAAGATCCTATATGGATCAGACCAGCATCTTCTTTCTCCCAGTGGCTAGGTCAGGCATAAGCAGGACGTGAATATGACAGCTCTCGCTCACTGTTGCTCCTCAGCAACTGGTATTCAGAGGCATGGTGTTCCTGATCCTAAAGATAGTATACTGTCATCAAGGCAAGCAGGCGTTGATGGCCTAGTCCTCCTTTAATTTGTCAAATTCTCCTTCAAAGCCATCTAAATTGGTGGACAGAGCCTGGAATAAATAACCACCTGCAGTGGCCCAGGAGATTTCATCCATACATATAAAGTAGCTTTGGAAGACAATCAGGGATGGGCAGCAAAAATAATAGCAGGAATGGTCTAGACTCAGTTACACCCATAGTTGCTATCTACATTGCAAATACATTTTATTTTGCAATATGAATATAATTTAAATTATTGTCAGGCACCGTGAGTGGTTTTTGACTCAAATGAATGGCAGGGTACAATATTTTTAAATTCCCTTTCTATTTACATTTCTGTTCTAGTCAGTGCTATTTTTCTAGAAAAAGAGGTATCGGAACTCACCATTGAACACCTACCTTGTTCTCTTATAAGGTAATGGCACTCACCTGAGAGGTTCCAGAACTGAGTTCCAGTGGGTTCCAGCTGGAAAAAAAGCCCTGGGTCTAGCTAGTTGGAAACTACCTTGCTCAAATGTTCAGCTGCCCTCAAAATAAAACAGTGACTCAAATGCCATCTTCATTTCTCAGTAGGCCAAGAGCCAAACCAGCAAAACCCTGGGATATCCAAGATTAGAGCTACTGCTTTTAAAAATTAGTTCAGACCAGTCATTAATTGGGGAGTGGGGGTGAGTGAGATTGGATCAGAAAGGTGGTGCTTAGCTCTTTCTCCAAACCAGGTCACCTCTCCCTTCCCAAACACAATCTTTGTCCTATAGGGAAAAGCACACCGCAGCATAGTGCTATTGGTATGTTTCACTCTGCAAGGCAATTAAGCAGTTTAGGTGGAGGGGATTAAAATTGGGATACAGTGGTACCTCTGGTTACAAACTTAATTCGTTCTGGAGGGCC